GTTGTTATTAAATGATAGAATTCACTAAAAGTATATAAATATGTAATAAATAAAATAATTTTGTGATAAAAATGATAAACGAGGTTTATCTATTGTCAATACATTGGTCATTTTCATTTACACCTGAAAAAATAGTCAAAAAACATAATTTTTGTAACTGGGCGGGGCTACCCGACACATTTTGAAAAGAGTTGAAAAACGTGTTTTTTTTTAATTTCTATTTTTTTAAGTTAAACTATTCTTTTTTTGGTTTATATTTTTTTTTGCATTATTTAATAAGATGATAAAACAATAGAAGCATGCAAAAATATTGATTATTACTCAATATTATACAGAAATATAAGCAATACTCCTTAAGTGAGTGGGGCTACCCGACTCTCCCCTACATATTTATATAATAAAATTTTAACTTGAGCTCATTTGATTTGCAATAATTTTTAATCATAATTATTTTTTCATCTAAAGTAAAATAGTGAATATCGAAAAGAAAAAAAAAACAATAAAACACTAAGTTGAAAAAAAGTCACGTTTATTATTTATCTATGCTATAAAGAAAAACATTCCAACTTTCGGTTTGTTAATGAAAGTGTATGCTTATCTGAATATATGTTGAGATAGGTGTATAAACGGGTTATTGTATCTCTGTAAGCAAGTTCAGATTGTTGAACCAATTCACATCCGGGGATTTACGAAAGATGAACTCTAAAATAAGTTTGAAGCGAAAATAAAATGATTTTGCTCGTTCACTGACCGAATAATTTTTAGGAAGGAGAAGAAAAAAAAAATTGATGCATGCTAGTGGAACCATTTTCAGTTGTCGGCGAGATCTTTTATGGAGTTAGTGTATCTAATGGTGACTAGAATTCCTCCTAGCATGGCTAAGTCAAGTTCTGGCCATTAAAGTTCTCGCATAATTATGAAGAGCACAATGCCGGCCAACATTTGAATCAGAGAAATTCTGAAATAGAGTGCAATGAAAACAATTACTACCGCCTGTTTTATTTTTTATTCTGTATTTATTTTTTGCGCAGTCGAACTGTTTTATGTTCTAACTGTGGAATAAGAAAGTAAAAGAGATCAAGAAACTATAGGTTAGTGGACGAGCAATCTTGGAGATGAACCAAGACTTCGTGCGAGTTTTTATTTATTTATTAAATTTTTTTTACCTAGATTACTTTTATAGAAGTTTGTTATTACTGTGATTAAAACTGATAGCCATGAAATGAAATATTTCAATGCATGAGATGAGATTTTGCCATTTTTTTTTAATCAGTGACTTCTTTAATGTTTTTTTTTAAATTTATTTTAAATTTAAATTAATATTTCACGTTGGTGGCAAAAATCGTTTTCACTTCTGGCAAAGAAGAAATTTGACTCAGTTTTTTTTTATGGTGGCAATGCTGCGAATAAGTGCTTATTAAGAATTGAACAAACAAAAAATATTTTAGGCATTTTGCAATTTAAAAATATCAATATTTAATTTCAGATTAAAAACACATTAAGACGAAGAAGCACACTTCTTATTTATACTTATTTTGCAGTTTATACGTATAATTTTCATGAAAAGTCGAGATTTTCCTATTCGTTTTATTTTTTTTTTTCAGAACTATATCTTAATATTAAATCATAATATCAGATATTTGTCATTTTATACAAAAAAAATTTTAATCCTAAAGGATCCTCACGAGTTTTTCTAATTTAAAAATTTATTCGAAAGCGTGTTTACGAATTTAGCAATTACTAGATGCAGAAAAGATAGAGGGTGTTCCTTAAAAAACTGTCCTTAATTAGAGGTTTTAGAGAGTCATTGGGGTCTCTAAATATTTAAGAAGGGAATGAACAAAAACGCTATCGATATCTGACAATCATAGAACAGCAAAATAGGTTTGATTGCAAGAGGACGCAGAGATGAGTTGAAAGACTCCAATTTATCCAGTTTTCGTGCTTGTTACATAAACTTCCTTCATTGTAATTTCCCATATTTCGACTGCATTTTTGTTGTTTTCGTTGTTTAAACATCAATTTGTACATTTTTCATGAGAATTCAAAAAATAATAATAATGATATTAAGGGTGGTCCTTACGGAACACCCCATACATATTTTTAAGACATCTGCAATAATATGCTTAATATTATCTTTTGTAACTGTAAATGGCAATATGATTTGAGATTACTTATGGGACATTCCACTATATTTTTATTATAATATGCGGCTATTGATTTCCAGGGTTTATCGAACAATTCTTCTATCGAACAATTCAGACCTCTGCTGCACATGTCCAAATGATTTACCTAACATCCTGTTTATTGCATTCAAATATTTGCTATTACATATTCATAAAATGAATTTTCGACTTGGATCCATTCGATTTGCAAAAAATTTTACTTTAATTATTTTTTTCACTTAAAGTAAAATAGTGAAAGTCAAAATGAAAAGGAAATTATAAACAATAATAATACTAAATTGAAAAGAGGAGCGTTTATCATTTATCTGTGGTATAAAAGAAGCATCACAACTTGTAAGCCCTTAAGAAGCGAAAATCACCCCATACATTTTATTGGTAAGTTTGTATAGAATTTCGGATTCAGTATTATTCCTATCGCATTAAATCACCTTCTATCGATGATTTCATATCTTAATATTTATAATTCTGAAGAGCATGTTCAAACAATACACCTAACATCATGTTTCTCGCATTAAAATATTTGGAATTAAATTTTCGTTTTGAGACAACGTACTTACAATATATTTTAAATCCTTTTTTTATGATCTATGTTTGATGTAGAAATGTGAGCATTTATGGCATAGAACATTAGCATAGAACTATGCTTGATATATATAAGCATTTATGCAAACAGGTGTATTATTATATTAAAACTTTTGGTGAAAAGTTTAAAAAAAAAGGAAGGAAACGAAGGTATGTTGTAATTAAAGGGTGTTTGTATACGTTTTAAACAAGCAAAACAATTGTAGTATTCAAAATGTTACACGAAACTGGTAAGAGTTTCATATAAACGTAGCTTATATGATTGCTTTTTTATACGTTAAAAGACCTTGAAGCTAACGGAAAAATCTTGTGAATCTAAGACGGAATTTTAAAAAGCAAAAAATATTCGATTTCACTTTCTAAATAGATTTTACATCCTTGTTCTTACCTAAGAGGCGACCTGAGGCAGCAGGGAATCAAATTCTTCTTGTGAAACGTCTCATTATAATTGTAAAAATAGGATTGTATTTATGTTTTTTTATCTGCTTAATACTACGTTGAAAGGTATAATAAATTATGCAACATTTAAGAACGTAAATTCAACTTAGGTGGTTAGCATTAAATAGCAGCTATTTTAATTTTTCTTATTTCAATTTTTAAACAAGTATTTAGTTAAGCATTTATTACAATATAAAATTTATTTTTTAAATAGATATTTAAGAAGTCAAACTCGTCCGATGTGGTCATTAAAAATTACTTTTAACATTTCTCTCATTTATTTCAGATAGTTAATGAAAATGAAAACTCAAAAGATGCATTTTAAGGTATTCATATATAAATATATTTCAAATTACTAGATATTTATAAATCTGAAAATTTATGTAAAATTATAAATCGCTAAATGTGTATGTGTAGATCATTCCTTGAGTTCTAAGTAAAGGAATCACTTCGAATAAAACTATTAGAAAGCTTTTAAGCTTTTATTAAAGATACGTTTGTAATATAGACGTTTGTATCTATACGTTTATATATATTGTATGTAAGATACGTTTGTATCTATTTTTTTGTGTTACGTTTACTGATCGCAGTCGACCATTTTGCAATCATTAATACTTTTTATGTTATTATGTGCACTAAAATGCATTATTTTAATGTTATATGCACTAAAATGTGTTATTTTTATGTCATTATGTGCACTAAAATGTAATTTTTTGAGTTATGGTAATTTTACTAAATGTATGATAACCAGTGTATTAAGTAAATCTATCTGCTTCAGTTTCTTGGGATAATTCATTTAATAGATAATAAAATGCTTCATGTCTGTGGGATGATGACCTTTGACGAAGGACGATTGAATTTTTTTTTCTTCGAAGTGCATGAAAAAACTGAAGATAAATAAAGAACAAATGAACAAACAATGAGTGTATTGAAATTACTGTGCGATAATGTTAACGTTATTTCAGTTCGATATTTTACAACAGAAACGATTCTGTAACCCAAGTGATGCTAATTAGAGCCCAGATTTGATAACTTAAAAATATCAATAAAGAAAGCCAGTAAAAACATTAAAAAATTCGCTTAAAGTAAAAAAAAAAAAAAATCTTTTGTTATTAATCAATAATTTTGGTTTAAAACATCATTTATATCCTAAAACTTCCTGAATTGCTTGAGATTATTAAATCAATCTCAATCTTAATCAATTATCAATGTTTAATTCCGTAGCCTTGTAATTTTGAACCCAATCTAGAAGACAAAGAAACTCCTGGATCTAGCATTAGAACAAATTAGCCTTTGTGGAGGACATTTTTATGGAACTAATCCACATTTGCGTTAAATGGAGAGAAAAGCCACGAAAACCCCCCAGTGTAAGCTCGACGCAAGAGGATTCTAACCCATGATCCGTCTATTACTGAGGATATTTTATGTTTGCACTGTGGATTTGTATCGACCAGCCTACGCTGGGATTCGAACTTGGGTCACCGCATTTTGAAGCAAAGCAATATATTACTAAATAAAATTGTGAATGAATATAGATCAGTTAAAATTTATAAAAGTTGCAAAAATGAGCTAGTGCATCTTAAAATTTCAGAAGAGGCCCCAAACTTTTCTTAAAAAAATCCCAAGAAATCTCGAAAAATGCCTTAACATGGAAGAAAAAAATCGGAACAAGTTCTCTTAAAAATCACTTTTAGGATAATAAAATTCAAATACAGAAAAAAAAAAAATCCCCCAAAGATATCATTAGAATCCGAGACATTTTAACTACTATTAATAAAAAAGATCAACAAATAAGACTTAGTTCCTCTAAAAAAAATGCGGAAGACATGATATGAAATGAAAATCACGTAAATTTTGATGTCAGACAATTGAATCATACTGTTTTCATGATTTCAAAATCTTAAATTTTTACAAGTTAAAAATATTTTTAAATCGTTTCTTCCTTCAACAATTAAACTGTTTGGATATCACAACTATTTACAACTTTCTATCTATGCCGATGTCAAACTTCTGGTCTAGACGTCTGGATTTTTATACAATTTTTCTGCGAGACTGAAGATTATACGTTTTAAAAACACAAGACGATATTTAAATTTGAATACTTTGTTGCCTTCTTTTAACTAGTTAAGTAAAACTATTTTCATAAATGATGAATTTGGACATAATTCAAGGTTGTTTCGAGGAAAATTTCAACATAACGCTCAACTTGCTCGCGAGTTGTTTTGAAATTAGATTTCCTTTATATTAATTGTATTTACGAGACTTCTAGAAATATCAAAAAATATCAACTTTAAATTAGAATGCAGTATAGTTTGTAAGATAGATATATAAAATGACCTGGTTATCGGTCCCTAGTGTAATTTTAGCTTCCAATAACCCATAACGCTCTCAGCTTTTATTGAAGACTAAACCATTTTAACCTACATTGACGAGTTTTCAAAATGTCCTTAACTATTAATTGGGACATTTCTGAAGAAAAAAAACCCATCATTGTGGTAAATAAGGCCAAAATATACGGTATTTAAATCACTCACTTAATAATTTTTCTATTCATAGGGTAATGGTTAAGCGAAAAATCTGGTTTTTTAAATTATAGTTCTTATTGACACGCATTTAAATTTTTTTAATTTTTATTTCCAGCAGCAGAACTTGATATACATCATTTGCTGAAGTGTAAAAACACTCCGCACAGACCCATAAGAAATAAAAACAAATTAAACAAAAATTTAAAAATATTAAAACATTCGAAATAGAAAAATAATTAGAACAAAGAAACAATAAATAGAATATCAACAATAGAAATATAAACAGAAAATCAGTCAGTTAGCAATGCCTACAACTGTTCCCTAGCATTCCAGTATCTGTCATAGATGTTGCCAGTAACTGCGGGGCAGACCTCCAGATGCGCATTTAAAAAATACAAAACTGAAACGTAAATTTAACAGAATAAATGATTTTTATGACATGCTCTTAATTTAAGGTGATTAAATTTACAAATTTTATCACATTTATCAAATTTTTTCACATATTATGCAATCACATTTTATTGTTAATTTTACCAAAATCATTACCAAAGATTTTCGATGAAAATTTCAGAGCTTTTTGCTGTTCTCCCAGTGAGTTGAATTACATTGAAAACACGGTAAATTTTCCCATATTCTGCAGTGTGGTTATCAAACTGAACATTTCCCCATCATCAATAATTTAACCAAACTTACTATCAAGCAGCATGGTATCAAACCAATGATTTATTGGAATTTTATCATAAGTCATTACCAACGCTCTACGGTAAAAATTAACATACTTCTTGAAGTCAGAAAACAAAAAATAAAATAAAGAAAATAAATAAATTAAAAGAGAAAAAAAAATCCAGAACACGTTTTAAATGTTACCATATTCAGGTAGATTTAACCATAATATTTTTTTCTCAAAGAGCTGATATATTGTCAATACTAATTAATTAAAATATTTAAGGTACCGGGAACTATATTGATTGCATGCATATGGATGTTTTTTTTTTTTTTTTTTTTTTTTTTTTTTTTTTTTTTTTTTTTTTTTTTGCTCACTTAGCATTACATATGGCAAACACATACTTAAACATCGCTATGACGATATTCTTCATAAATATCTTATCTTGTTAAAATATCCTGGTCTACCATAATATATCGATACTTTTTGCCGATGTATGGCGATATTCAAATTCAGGTATCATACATCGCTAATTTGCATATTTTAAGGAAAGTGGATCAATGACAATTATAATTAATGTATTTACACGCTTTTCATTCTCGAACTTTCGTTCCGTTTCACACACTGTTGTTTTTCTTATAGGATTTCGACTTGAGTCTTGCCATCTTCAAATGATTCGGTGTCCATTCAGGCTTTGATTCCAAGCAACCATGAGGAAGAGTGGACATTAAACCTGAAGAATTTCCTTTACTGTCAAAGTTAAAGACTCGTGAACAAAGAATTATGTGTTTAAAAAAGATCTGGAGACTGTCAACCGCTGAAGCAAATAAAGATTGCTTCTCAGCTTTAAAGTAAATTGTAGCAACTTAATGTTTTGTCATATGCTAGTGTGGGAAAAAGTAACGACAAATAATTCCCCGTGAATTACTGGCAAGCTGAAAGTTATTGCTTTTGATTTTTCCTACTGACATAAATGTTATAACGCGTGAAAAACATGGCTAAATGTCTCTCAAAATTAAAAAGATTACAAAAAAGAACAAATGAAAGTTCTTAATTTTTGTTTGATAGTATGTAAGGGAAAGTAAGTGAAAGTAGTTTTCACAGTAGCAGTCAACACTTTTTTATAGTGTTAAACATTCGGTTTTAGAGATTCACCACAATGAAATTTAAAAAAAAAAAGAAAAAAACGTAATACGAGAGTATGAGAACTTGAAATTACAAGTTCCTAATTATCTACTTTAAGATTTAATTATCTACTTTAAGACTTGAAATTATGAGATCTTAAAAGTATAAGTTGAAACTCGTGTACTGATAAAGACAGGAATAGAAATATGGGTCGAATAAGCATTCACAAATTTAAGATGAAGTTTTCTTTAAATAATGCTTTTTATACTTAGCTTTTTATATGATTATTTCTTTTTGTAGACAAAAAAAGTATTGAAGAAAAAGTTTGAAACTATAATTTAATGATAACTACTATTTTACGCAAAACTACTGTTCAACTCCTTAATTCAGAATTTTCATTTAACAGATTTTTCATACTTTTTAAATTATTTTATATTAATTTAGGTCAAAATAAGTGAAAAATAGTGCATTCAGCGTATTAATAATTTCGGATTATGAAATGCAGCATAGAACACCGGTGTCTTTTTTTGTGCGTTAAATTTAAAATCTTGCAAACGCGGCTTCACATTTGCACTTGTTTACAGTTATCTAGATCTAAGAGAAACAGTTATTCATCACAAAAGTTTCGTTAATTGATAAATGTTTGAACATGAATGAAAAAAAAATTCAAACAAATTTTTTTTGGATTTTATATTTTAGTACAAAAATAATTCCGCTAATCTAAATTTTTTTTTATTAACTATTAAACTGTTTTTTTTTTCATAATTAAAAAATACCGAAGTATATTTTTATTTGTAATTAAAGCAACTGAAAAAATATATATAAGTGACACCAGTGTCCCATCTACGTTGAAGGTTTAACGTTAGACAAGTAAATATTGGGTTATTCTAAGCCAGTACTACCAATTTTGGTATTTTGAGTTTTATAAAATTATCTAGCTGATGCTGGGTAGTTGTCAGATTTACACAAAAAAATCATCTTTAGCTACAGATTTTATTCGGCAAATAACCAATAAAATAAATGACTCGATACAATGAAATTTTGATGGTGTAAATGAAAGAATTTCGAAATTTTCGAAAACAGCACCAATTTTTTCCTCTAATCCTGAACTCTTCTCTAAAAGGCATAAAATGGAGTTGTAACAATATTTTTAGTATAAAAAGTGGCGGAGCTTGGCAGAGATGAAATAAAGAGTATTTTATATGTTCGTCATATTAACGATTGAGTTCTATTGAACGCTGCTCTGACAATATCTGTAAGGAAGAAGAAAGCACCATTATTTTTTTTCCAGCTACATATTGCTTTCTTGATCTAAATCTTGGGCTTAAATTATTCGTGTTATAAATATCATTCAAATTCCATTTCAAGTTTTTTTTTATGTGTGGATTAGGCGGGTTGTTTCGTACAATAAAAGGTTTTGATTAATGTGTTTAACACAGAAGTAATTAAATAAGTAAAAAATGATTTTTTATGCAATATAAGATTCCCACCTTACTCTTAATCAAAAGTATTTTTTCGCAAAAAGTAATTTTGAAAAATAAGTCATATTTTCTTTGATTTTGTAATGGGCAATCGATGGTGCAAATATATGTTTTTTATTAATAACCTTACACTTATAAGGAAAAACGAAGACAGTTTGAAATATTTTTATTCAAAGCTTCCCCGTATTTACATTATTTCATAACTGTGTCTCTGTGTTGTTAGTTACTAACCATACAAATTACATTCATTATGGTGAAATAAAGTGTATGGGAGAAGATTTCAAGGTCTTTAAATTTTAAAATGTGGTTAAAAGAAAATTGAGATATAATTTATGCTATAAACACAGTAAGTAACCCGAACTAATTTATATTGGTATGTAACTGCAAAATAAAATTGAGAAATTTCTTAATTTAATTTGCATTATTGGTAAAAAGTAACCTTGAGTATAATGTTGTCTTAGTTTGTGAAAAAATTATAGCCTCACTACAATTGTTTGAAATTGTTTGAAATTGAGGAAAATTAAGTAAACTAAAAGAAACTTTAATTTGTAATTTGTAACAGAAAGCTATGAAAATTATCTATTGTTAGTTGTTTCGTATTTGAATTGATCTAAATGCAGAACCAATTAAATTGTGCAAAAATGCAAAATGCAATGTCAGTAAATTATTGCCTCGTATGAAGTTCATTTAATAATAAATGTTATTAAACTTTATTTTTTAGAAGTATTTAGTCAATGTTAAATTAATAAATAAAAATAACAGATGCTAAATTTAAAAAAAAAATTAAACTTGAGCTTTTTTATGAAAAAAGAAATACTAAATTACATGCTTTAAATCTTAAGATAAAAATTCAATATTAATTTAAGGAATCATAAGGAAAAAGGAATAAATTTAAATTCTGATAATAAATTAAAACATTGAGTGGTGCTCAATGTTTAGTTACTCAAATGGCATCAAAATCCTTGATATCACAATAAAGACAGATGCATCGTGGTTCAAACTACAAACGAACATCGGGAAGTTTTAAATTGACTTCTAAGTTAAAAATACACACACTAGTCAACAAATTAGTAATTAGGAAGATTTTTCTTCTTCTTCTCTATCCATATTAGCATAAATTACAAGTGGAGTTTCAAATAATTTAAAATAAAGATTTAGTGTAAGAAAGCATTATGATTCGGTACTTTTATAAATGAAAGGGAACGTTATAACTCATTTATATCAAAGAAACATCTTTTCCAAAATATTTTGAATAATTTTAAATTACCCTATATAGTTGTCATAGTTTTTTTAGAAGAAAGACACTCACTGATATTTTCGGATAACACTGTATTAAAAGCTGGTTAAATATCCATTAAACTATGGAGATGGACCATTCAACCCTGTAATTTAATTTTTAGCAGCAGGCTCTGTAGATAATCAGAACATTTATAGATAATTTTTCATTTCAGATTTTCTTAAAAAAAAACATATATGACGGCGCCTGAAGATAATTTTTCATCACAGATGTATGAAATAAACAGAAAAACCATTTGTAGTTCCTAAACTTATTTTACCAACCTGCAGATACATTAGCACAAAAAAATTAATAACTTTCAAAAATTCCAAATAATGTTCTTTAATTAACTGGAATTTTTAAAAAAATAAAGAATTAAAAAAAATAAGAAGAAAATTAATAAATAAATTCTTAATTTCCGAAAACTTCAGTTAACTTGATTCACCGAGTCATTTATAACTTGATATCTTAACTTTTTAAACTTGTTGACTAGTTGCCTGAAAATATATAAGAGTTACAAACTGTATAGGGACTTGACCCATTTTTTAAATTTCAATTATTTTATTACTCTATTAATTTAAAATGCACAAAAATTTTAATTAAAACAACAATAATAGCTTAATTGTTTTGCATTGTTGTGAGCATGTTAGATAAAGCATAATTTTTACAATACTGTTTCATTGAGACAGGGTCTCAGACAAGTTTGAATTTATGAAGATAATTCCGCAGATTGCAAATTTTACAACCCGGACTATAATAAAAGTTTTGGGCATTTTACATAATCGAGTGCTTCAACCTCATTACAAATATATTCCTCATTACAAATATATTCAGAAACATCTGAATATATTTGAATTCTCATTCAAATATATTCAGATGTTTTTTTTTCGTGTATTTTACAAGCTTACGAAACTAGATTATAATTTGAAAGAATTCAAAAATGGTGGGTTATGATGGCGTCGTCGCTTTTTTTAAATCACGAGAAAAAGCATTTGAACTTGTAAAACCAAAGCATAAACAACAAAATTATGCAGTTACCGGTTTTGAGTGGTGAGTTAGTGGACTTACTTAATACTACCTGTAATTGATATAATTTTGCCAGTTAAAATAAATAGATGGTACAATGCAATATTCCTTAAATTCTAAAAGGGTCACGGCATTGTATCCTGCTTGCCTCGAACAATTCTGCCTTATAGAAAAAATATCTGCCATCAGTCTATTAGTAAATTTGAGTAATTAAATAATATTTAGAATTTTCCCCTCTTTCTCAACTGCTTTGACAGTTTCAATCGGAAGGGAAGATATTGATTTTTTTTTACTGAATCTGCTTAATGCTTTTAATTTAAACTTTTATAATTAAAATTTTATAATAAAAATTTTATAAATATAAATAAAATTTTTAAATTAAAATAAGCAAAATTATCTACTTTAAGACTTTAATTTTTTGTATGAATTTAATATTTTTGTCATAAAATATAATTAATCGTAGAAAAAATATTATTATACCTTGAACATAACTATGTAATTAATAATTCTAAAGGAAAAAAATAACTATAAAGTTTTTTTCCTTATTTAAAATTGAAGAAAATTTGGTTAATGCTGGTAGTGGATATATTTTGTATTTAATGTTGCTGATGTAAACGGGGATCAGGATACGAATTACTCAGTCTTTAACGAAATTGCGATACGAAGCAAGTAGTCAGGGGTTCGAATCCCCTCTCACGCATGGATATTTTTTTCTCTGTGAATCTATCAACTTTTAGGGTACATTCATTTATTTAAAAGTGCCAAATGCTATTAAGAAGCATGTAGTTAAATCAATATGTGCGATGTCATACTCTTCAATGGCTCAGATTACAGATATTTATTGGGTAAAGCCAAATAAGTTTTTATATATAAATATNAATTTTGCAATTAAGAATATTTGGAGAATTTAAAATTCATTCTTAAGAATTTAAGTCCATTGCGCAGAGCAGTCACTGGACTTTTGCGGGACCCTTTAGTTATTCTCTTTCTGCTAAGCGTCTAAAATAATAAATCACTCAGGATCCTAAATTATTGCCTTGATCATTGAAATAAACCTGATTTTTTTTTTCGAATTTTATTCTTAAAAACAAACAACGTGACATTTTTTAACCTTCAAA